CTCCTCGTGCTCGTCCCTCGTCACCTGTCCGTGACCTTCGTACCGTGTTGTTTCGTCCTAGTCCTCCTCGTTCTCCTCCGTCTGTTCTTCCTCGTCCTCCTGAGTCGTCCCTCACTGCCTCCCTGTCCACTCCGGTCACTGACTACTACCGCACGTACCGCCCCACTCTCTCTCGTGTTCTCGCCTCTCTTGTTACAGACCCTCGTGCCTCTCCTTCCTCCGTCGCGGTCCTCACTGCCGCTGTCACAGACTTTACTGCTACGCGTCGCCTTGACTACGCCACTCGCGTTGTGGCGGCTCCTCCTGTCCGTCCTCTGTCCGCCGGGGGTGAGTTTGCCCTTGGCTGTGCCGTCCTAGAGGATAGACAGTTTGAGCTAGAGTTCCTGGCAGCCGCTTCACCTCATCTCTGTGCCATGCTGCTCGCTCCTGAGGGAGACCCCGACGCTCCTGACATACCTACTCCTCGCACTTACGCTAAGGCAGTGTCAGGGCCTTGGGCCTCTCAGTGGAGAGCTGCCATGGACGCAGAGATGGCCTCCTACAGGTCCACAGGCACTTACGTTGATGAGGTTCCCCCCCCAGGGGCGAACATTGTTGACGGCATGTGGATCTTCAAGGTGAAGCGGCCGCCGGGATCTCCTCCAGTCTTCAAGGCACGCTACGTGGCTAGAGGTTTCAGTCAGCGTGAGGGAGTTGACTTCTTTCAGACCTTTGCGCCCACCCCGAAGATGACCACTCTTCGGGTGTTACTGCACGTAGCAGCGCAGAGAGACTACGAGCTACACTCTCTCGACTTCTCCACTGCCTTCTTGCAGGGCAGCCTACACGAGGAGATCTGGCTGCGTCGTCCTCCGGGCTTCACTGGCACTTTCCCGCCTGGGACCCAGTGGAGCCTCAGACGACCGGTCTACGGTCTCCGCCAGGCACCCCGTGAGTGGCACGACACTCTCCGCTCTACTCTGTCCGACCTTGGGTTTGAGCCGTCTTCCGCCGACCCGTCGCTGTTTGTTCGTCGTGGGCGCACACCTTTCTTTGTTCTTGTCTACGTTGACGACCTGGTTTTTGCCACAGCCGACACAGTTGCACTGGCGGAGGTGAAGTCCGAACTGCAGAAGAGACACACCTGCACTGACCTTGGGGAACTGCGCCGCTACCTTGGCCTGCAGATCTCCAGGGACAGAGCCGCTCGCACCATTACTCTTACTCAGTCACACATGGTGCAGCAGGTCCTTCAGCGGTTCGGGCTTCAGCACTCCTCTCCTCCTCCCACCCCTCTTGCTGTAGACCACAGACTCACTGGGCCTTTTCCTGACGAGCCGTTCGAGCCCAGTGGTCCCTACGCAGAGTTGGTGGGCTGCCTCATGTACCTGATGACGTGCACTCGCCCGGACCTCGCCTTCCCTCTTAGCATCCTTTCTCGCTTTGTTGCGACAGGGAGACACCGTCCTGTTCACTGGGCGGCAGCTAAGAGGGTGGCGAAGTACCTCGGCGCGACATCAGACATGGGGCTTGTACTTGGAGGGACACAGCCAGTTGTACTCACCGGTCACTGCGACTCCTCCTACGCCGACGACGTTGAGTCACAGAGGTCTACACAGGGTTACTGTTTCAGCCTGGGCTCTGGAGCTGTTTCGTGGAGGTCTACTCGGTCCTCCTCTGTTGCGACTTCTACCGCAGAGGCCGAGATCTACGCTGGAGCCCTCGCTGCACAGGAGCTACGCTGGTTGACCTTCTTGCTCACTGACCTTGGTGAGCGGCCGAGCTCTGCACCGACCTTGTTTGCTGACAACAAGGCGATGATTCTCCTGTGTCGTGAGCCTCGACTGGAGAGCAGGGTGAAGCATATCGACGTCAGGTACTTCCTCCTTCGAGAGTTGCAGAGACGTGGACAGGCACGTCTGGACTTCGTGGCCTCCGAGGCCAACACTGCAGACATCTTCACCAAGGCTCTTCAGCCTTGTGACCACCGCCGGTTTTGTCTGCAGTTAGGCCTTGTTGAGACTGGGTCTAGTAGACTGCAGTAGTGAGTTCTTGCCTCTTGTTTGTTTGTACCATATATATATTAGCTTGTACACTCTTGAACTGGCCTTGTGGCCCCTTGTTTGTGCTCAGAATGTGTGGTGACGTTGAGATCCACCCTGAGCTTTGTTTTCTCGCTTGCTTGTGACTGGTCTTGTGACCTTAGGTTGTGTTCTGTTACTTGGCATTCCCCACTTAGGCTATGGGGGTGTGTCAAATGTTATAGCCCTTAGTGGGTCATACTATATGGGGTACAAACAATTAGGGTTAGGTACTTGTACCCCAACTCAATCAATGCAAGCCATTCCGCTGTTCTCAGTTACTAAGACGAAGGGCTGGGCTGAAATCCTTGTACCGTATTCCCCCGGACATACCACCCCCCGAAATAGAGCACCCCCCGGGTGGCTTGTGCGGGGGGGGTGCTATAGCGGGCCTCGTTTCTACTATACCCCCCCTTTTGGGGGCATCCTATATAGCACCCGGGGGGGGGGGGGGGGGTGTTATGTACGGGTATAATTGCAGTTTTTGCCTAAGTAGCACAGGGTTTCCATGTTGAAATCACAGGCAGGAATGGATGAACTAACAGCATGCAGGAGTACAAGTAGTAAACCCTAATTGGGTTGTACCCCATATGGGCTACCCCACTACAGCCTAGACAATATGCAGCATATATGTTTGACACACCCCCATAGGCAAAGTGGGGGAGAACAAGGGGTCACACGACCAGTCAAGAGACGCAAAGCAAGCTCAGGGTGGATCTCAACGTCACCACACATTCTGAGCACAAGCAAAGGGCCGCAAGGCCAGTCCACATGCAGAGATATATATAAGCAACAAGAGCAGTACAGTGATCAATACCTAGCAAGAGCAAGCATGCAGGTATAAATATAGAGCACAGTACACACAAAAGACTACAGCAAGTGTGGAAATGTAGGCACAAGGCCTAACAAAGTACAAAAGCGCTGATGATCACCAGACGGAAGTGCCTTGGTGAATATATCAGCAGTGTTGGCCCGAGTGGCCACGTGTGCAAGACGAAGCTGACCACGCTGCTGCAACTCTCGAGCCAGAAAGTACCGCAGAGCGATGTGCTTCGTTCTGTGCTCCAGTCTGTGCTCCTCACACAAGGCAATGGCAGCCTTGTTGTCGACGTACAGCACTGGAGGAGAACGAGGCCGCTCTCCCAGGTCGGTCAGCAGGTAGGTGAGCCAGCGTAACTCCTGAGCAGCCATGGCGGTGGCATAGATCTCAGCCTCACAACTGGAGCTGAGAACAGAAGACGAGCGAGTAGAACGCCAAGAAACAGAACCAGAGCCAAGGCTGAAAGTGTAACCTTGTGACGACCGCTGCGTAGCCTGGTCGTCAACCCAAGAAGCGTCTGAGTGCCCAGTGAGGACCACCTCTCGCCGTCCTCCAAGCACGAGCCCCATGCCCGATGTACTGCACAAGTAGCGCAGTACCCTCTCCCCGCTTCCCAGTGCACCTTTCGGTGCCGACTAGGAGCCACGTAGCGAGCCAGAAGGCCAAGAGGGTACGCAAGGTCAGGACGAGTGCAAGTCATCAGGTACATGAGGCAGCCCACTAGCTCTGGGTAAGGACCACTCAGCTCTACGGACTCATCCGAAGGCAGAGCTGAGAGCGAGTGACCTATAGCCAGAGGAGTGGCCTGTGCTGAGGACCAGGTGAAGCCGAAGCACTGAAGGACCTGCTGCACCATGTGTGACAGAGTCAGGGTGATGGTGCGCCGTGCTCTGTCCCGGGTGATCTGCAAGCCAAGGTAGTTGCGCAGCTCACCCAGGTCTGTGCACGTGTGTCTCTTCTGCAGCTCGGACTTCACCAGGGCGAGGGCCTCAGTGTCAGCAGTAGCAAAGACCAAGTCGTCGACGTACACGAGGATATAGAACGGCGGCAGCGAAGTGTCGGTGCGTAGAAACAGTGAAGGGTCAGCAGTCGAAGGCGCAAACCCAAGAGCCGCAAGGGTAGTCCTGTCAAACATTATATGTTTATATGATTGTAGGCTGTAGTGGGTTACACCTTAGGGGGTACACTAGATTAGGGTTTACTACTTGTATCCAACTTTGTGCTAGTACAGTCATTCCTGTCCGTTCATTCTGACATGGTTTCAGAGCAGGTCCTTCGCTAGGACCGTTTTTTTTAAGGGCCCACCGTTCCCTACCTACCTACCTACCTACCTAGGGCGCCTCGAACTTTTTTTACGGCCCCTACCTCCCGCGACCCGCGACCCGCCCCTTAAGGCCCCGTCGCGCCGCCCCTTAGCCGCTCGCGCGCGGTCTTTTTTTTCTTTTCATGCGCACGCCCCGCAGCCGCCCGTCGCCTGCTCGCGCACGCCCCGCAGCCGCCCGTCGCCTGCTAGCGCACGCCCCGCAGCCGCTCGTAGCCTGCTCGCGCACGCCCCGCAGCCGCCCGTCGCCTGCTCGCGCACGCCCCGCAGGCCCGCAGCCCGCTGTCGCAGCGGCCGCCCGCCCGCAGCCGCCCGTCGCCTGCTCGCGCACGCCCCGCAGCCGCCCGTCGCCTGCTCGCGCACGCCCCGCTGCCCGCAGCCGCTCGTACGCCGCTGCTTCCGCTGCTGCTTGCGCACTGCTGCCTCCCGAGCGCCGCCGCTGCCCGTGCGCCGTCGCTGCTCCTACGCTGCCGCTGCCCGTGCGCTGCCGCTGCCCGTGCACCGCCGTTCCCCGTGCGCCGCTGCCGCCCGTGCGCTTCTGCAGCCGCCGCCCGCGAGGCACTCGCTCTCACTGTTGTTTATCTTCTACCTACCGCGCACACTGCTGCCACTGCAGCTGCCACCAGTGCACCGTTGCAGCTCCTGCTGCCACGCTACCTACTACTGCCGCTCGTGTGCCACTACGGACAGTCGACCCCGCCCGCGCCTTGCCTAGCGGCCCCGCCGGCCCCGTTGACCCTCCGCACACCTTTCCAGCGGCCTGATTCCTACTACTACTGTTACTACTGCTACTGTCACTATGGCTAGTCCGCCAGTTCTAGCTTTCGATGCCGAGGGCCGTCCAGTGAAGTTCGAAACCTGGCTAGATGACCTGCACCTGTTCCTACAGCTCACTGCCAAGGAAGATATCTCACTGTACGACCACGCCCTAGGCCATGTCACTGCCCCTGACTCGTCTGCTGACAGCACTCTGCGTTCCCAGTGGCAGACCCGTGATGCGCACGCTCGCTTTGCTATTCGCAACTCCCTGCCGCTAGACGAGCGCGAGCACTTCGGCCAGTGCAAGACTGCTAAGGACCTCTACACCGCTGTAGTTGCCCGCTACTCCTCACCCGCTTCTGCCACGCTAGGCCGCCTCACTCTCCCCTACCTGTTCCCCGACCTAGCCTCCTTTCACACTGTCGCAGACCTCATCACCCACCTTAAGACTAGTGAGGCCCGCTTTCGCGCTGCTATGCCTGCCGAGTTTCTCACTAGCAACCCCCCCCCGCTCTGGATCACTCTCTACCACATCGTCACCCGCCTTCCTGACTCTCTGCGCGCAGTCAGGGACCACTTCCTCTCTCGCTCCCCCACTGAGCTCACTGTTGCCCTCCTCGAGAAGGAACTGCTTGCAGCTGAGACGAGCATCGTCGCTGTAGGCACCTCTCGTGGCGACCCCCGCACCCCGTTCTTTGAGGGGTGTTCCCCTTCCCCCCTCCTCCCCTCTGTCGCCTCTGCTGCTGCTGTCGACCTTCTTGGTGCTGAGAAGGTCGGGACCGCGTCTGCTTCGAGCGGGCGCCGCAGGAACAAAGGGGGCAGGGGTGGGGGTGGCGGCGGAGGAGGTGGGGGTGGAGGCGGTGGGAGTGGAGGCGCGGCTGGGGAGACTAGTGGCGGCAGTGGGGGAGGAGACAGCAGCGGTGGGAGTGGTGGTGGAGGCGGCAGCGGAGGCGGAGGTGGTCGTGGCGGCGGCAGGGGTGGAGGTGGCCGGGGCGGCGGCGGTGGGGGTGGTGGTCGTGGAGGCACTGGCGGAGGGCAGAGTCAGCAGCCCGCCCCGACGCTTCAGGCCGCCCGTGAGTGGTATGCGCAGCGTAGCTTTACCTGCACGTACGTCATTCGCACAGGTGACCGCAGCGGCCAGCAGTGTGGGAGGCCGCACCCCACGCAGCGCTGCTTCGCGCGCCTTACCGACGCGTGGCGCACTCAGTTTCCTGCTGCCACTGAGCTGCCGCGCTGGGCTGATCTGGAAAAGAGGGGTGTTGATATTTGGGCTTTAGACTTTGATGCTATTCTCACTGCCATGTATGCGATGTCTATTAGTGGAGAGGGTGCTCAGTACTTGCGTGTTCCGCCCGACCCGGGCATTCAGGCCAGTCCGGCTGCCGCTCTAGGTGCTAGTGCGTCTGCTCCCACAGGTCCTGGTGAGGCTGCAGCCCTAGGTGCTCGTGCGTCCGTGCCCCCTGGTACTGAGTCGACTGCAGCACTGCACACCTTCACCCTGGACTCAGGTGCTTCTCGCTCTTTCTTTTGTGACCGCACTGTCCTTGAGCCACTCGCTCGGCCAGTTGCTGTCTCCCTTGCTGACCCCTCTGGGGGTCCGGTCATTGCGACCTCCTCCACTGTCCTTCCTTGTCCGGCGGTCCCGTCCGGCACGCTGTCAGGTCTCTACCTCCCCTCGTTCTCTACGAACTTGGTGGCAGGTAGTGCGCTCCAGGACGGGGGTGTTCACCAGTTCACCCCTGCCTACGAGCGCGTGACACACTGCACGTGTGCTCGGACGGGTCGCCACCTGGCTACCTTCACTCGGGAGCCGGGGTCGGACCTTTACACACTGACCACTGAGTCCCCTCAGGTAGCTGCGTCCGCGTCTGCGTCTGCGTCAGGTCAGCTATCCGCCCCCTGCTCGTGTCGCTCTCTGGCGCATGAGACTGTCCTTTGGCACCACCGCCTTGGTCACCCGTCTGTGCAGCGCCTTCGGGCCATGCACAAACGGGACCTTGTTGCTGGTCTTCCCAGGGTGCTCCCTCCCCTTCCAGCCTCGCCTGCTCCTCCCTGTCTTCCCTGTGTCGAGGGGCGGCAGCGCGCCGCTCCTCACTCCTCCTCCTTTCCCCCGACGACTGCTCCTTTGCAGACGCTCCACATGGACGTGTGGGGCCCAGCCCGCATCCGTGGTCAGGGTCAGGAGAGGTACTTCCTGATTGTTGTTGACGACTTCTCGCGCTACACCACGGTCTTCCCCTTGCGCACCAAGGGTGACGTCCCTGATGTCTTGATCCCTTGGATCCGCAGATCTCGTCTCCAGCTCAGTGAGCGTTTCCGCTCCGACTTCCCTGTCCTGCGTCTGCACTCTGACAGAGGTGGAGAGTTTTCCTCTGGCCTCTTGGAGGCCTTCTGTCAGCAGGAGGGCATTGAGCAGTCGTTCACGCTTCTGGCCTCTCCACAGCAGAATGGGGTTGCTGAGCGCCGCATTGGCTTGGTCATGGAGGTCGCTCGTACCTCCTTGGTTCATGCGGCTGCCCCCCACTTTCTGTGGCCGTTTGCAGTCCGATACGCTGCGCATCAGCTCAACCTCTGGCCCCGTGTCTCCTTGCCCGAGACTTCTCCGACACTGCGTTGGACGGGAGAGGCTGGCGATGCGTCACGTTTTCGGGTCTGGGGATCCCGAGCTTTTGTCCGCGACGCGTCCGCGGACAAGCTCTCCCGTCGCGCTGTCCCCTGCGTCTTCCTTGGCTTTGTCCCGGACGCCCCTGGTTGGCAGTTCTACCACCCCACCTCGCGGCGTGTCCTGGCCTCTCAGGACGTCACTTTTGACGAGTCCGTCCCCTACTACCGCCTCTTCCCCTACCGCACTGCCCCGCTCCCCCCCCCGCCTCTCTTCCTCGCTCCAGGTGCTGAGGTACCAGACCCCCTCCCCCCTCAGGGTGCCGCTCCCTCAGGTGTGTCCCAGGTAGACCCGGGTGAGCCTGTCGAGGTAGCTGTTGACTCTCGTCCTGCTAGGGGTGCTGAGCCTGGGGGTGCTGCGTCTGGGGGTGCTGAGCCTGGGGGTGCTGAGCCAGGAGGTGCGGAGCCTGGAGGTGCTGAGCCTGGGGGTACTGAGTCTGGGGGTGCTGCGCCTGGGGGTGCTGAGCCTGAGCGTGCTACACCTGGAGGAGCCCTCTCCTCCCAGCAGCTGCAGGAGAGGTACCTCGAGTACTGCCGCCTCCGGAGAGGTGCTGCTGGAGCTCGTCCCGGTACTTCCCCTCCTACCCAGGAGCTCCCCCCCATTCAGCAGATCCGCGAGTGGTACACACGGCGCTGCAGTCTTCGGAGTGGTGCTCCTGGTGCTGCGGACCCTGGGGGTGGCGCTGCTGCTGGTGCTGAGGACCCGGACGTGGGAGCTGCTGCTGGTGCTGAGGACTCGGACGTTGGAGCTGCTGCTGGAGCTGAGGACCCGGGCGGTGGCGCTGCTGCTGGTGCTGAGGACCCGGACGGTGGAGCTGCTGCTGGTGCTGAGGACTTGGACGGTGGAGCTGCTGCTAGAGCTGAGGACCCGAGCGGTGGCGCTGCTGCTGCTGCTGAGGACCCGGGCGTTGGAGCTACTACTGGTGCTGAGGACCCGGCCGGTGGAGCTGCTGCTGGTGCTGTGGACCCGGACGCTGGAGCTCCTACTGGTACTGAGGACCCGGCCGCTGGAGTCTCCTCTGCTTCTGGAGACGCTGCGCGGCCGCGACCGTACTTCGTACCGCTCCTTCAGCAGGTTCTTGGTCAGGCTCCTCCTCCTTGTCCTCCTCCCTCCGTAGAGTGTCCTCCGCCTGTCCAGCCGCAGTCACAGTTACCGCCTACCTCGCCTCTCCCTGCTCCCTCTCCTTACACTGGTCCCACAGGAGGTCTTACAGAGCGTCGTGAGCCTGAGTCTCGTCCTGCGTCGCCTGTTCGTCCTGCTCGCACTGGTAGTCGTGTCCGTCGTGAGCGTCCTCCTCCTGTCCCGGGCACTCACTACATGACTCTGCGTCCCTCTACTGCTCCTCAGCGTGTCCCTCTACCGTCTCCTCCTGCGTCCTCTTTGCTTGACGTTCCGGACCCTGAGTCTGACCGGTATCGTGCTGAGCACCCTACTGTCACGCGTCTCCTCGCTACTGTTGTCACTGACCCTACCTTTGAGTCCTCGGCTGCGTCTGCTCTGGTCGCTGAGTTGGTTGACTTTGCTGCTGCCTGTCGTCTAGACTACGCTGCTAGCCTTGTTGCTGAGTCTGAGTCTGAGTCTGTCTGTCCTCCGTCCGTCGGGGGTGAGTGTGCTCTTGGCACGGACGTCCTTGAGGACAGACAGGAGGAGTTCCAGTGTCTTGCTGCTGCTTTGCCCCGTCTCGTGTCCTTGCTAGTTGCCCCTGAGGGAGACCCGGATGCACCAGACATCCCGACCCCGGGTTATATGATTATATGATTGTAGGCTGTAGTGGGTTACACCTTAGGGGGTACACTAGATTAGGGTTTACTACTTGTATCCAACTTTGTGCTAGTACAGTCATTCCTGTCCGTTCATTCTGACAAGTCCTCAGTGTGTCGTGCCACTCACGGGGTGCCTGGCGGAGACCGTAGACTGGCCGGCGGAGGCTCCACTGGGTACCAAGAGGGAACGACCCAGTGAAGCCAGGTGGGCGGCGCAGCCAGATCTCCTCGTGCAGGCTGCCCTGTAGGAAAGCTGTGCTGAAGTCAAGGGAGTGAAGCTCGTAGTCATGCTGAGCGGCAACGTGCAGCAGCACCCGAAGAGTAGTCATCTTCGGGGTGGGGGAGAAGGTCTGGAAGAAGTCAACTCCCTCTCGCTGACTGAAGCCTCGAGCAACGTAACGCGCCTTGAAGACAGGCGGAGAACCTGGCGGCCGCTTCACCTTGAAAATCCACATGCCATCGACGATGTTCGCCTCGGGAGGGGGAACCTCATCGACGTAAGTGCCAGTGGACTTCCAGGATGCCATCTCTGCGTCCATGGCTGCCTGCCACTGAGAGGAGTAGGGACCCGCGATCGCCTCAGCGTAAGAGCGCGGTGTGGGGATGTCTATAGCATCCGGGTCTCCCTCAGGGGCAAGCAGCATGGCCACGAGATGAGGCGCAGCAGCCGCAAGACACTCAAGGTCCTCCTGTCTGTCCTCAAGGACGTCCGTGCCAAGAGCACACTCACCCCCGACGGACGGAGGACAGACAGACTCAGACTCAGCAACAAGACTAGCAGCGTAGTCTAGACGACAGGCAGCAGCAAAGTCAACAAGCTCAGCGACCAGGGCAGACGCAGCAGAAGACTCAAACGACGGGTCAGTGACAACAGTGGCTAGCAGACGCGTGACAGTAGGGTGCTCAGCACGAAACCGGTCAGACTCAGGGTCCGCGACGTCAGGCAAAGAGGACGCAGGGGGAGACGGAAGAGGAGTACGCTCCGGAGTAGGGGACCGACGCAGGGCTACAAGGCGTGTGCCGGGGACAGCCGGCTGACGCGGACGAGGAACACGACGACCGGTACGACTAGGACGAACAGGCGAGACAGGACGCGACGCAGGCTCACGACACTCAGCAAGACTACCTGTCTGCTCAGTGTAAGGAGAAGGAGCAGGCAGCGGTGAGCCAGGCTGTAACGGAAGACCAGTAGACGACGGGAGAGTAAGAACCTGACGAAGAACAGAGTCAGGCGGCGGCAGAGACGACGGAGATGGCGGAGCGAAGAACAGTCGTGTCGGCGCAGCTGCACCAGTACCGGCAGCTCCAGCAGCTCCAGTACCTCCAGCAGCTCCAGCACCTCCAGCAGCTCCAGAAGCTCCAGCCCCAGAGCCGACACCGCCAGGCCCAGGGTCTCCAACCTCAGTGCCTCCAGCAGCAGCACCCCCAGAACCAGCACCTCCAGTTCCAGGGTCTCCATCCTCGGTGTCACCAGCAGCAGCACCTCCAGACGCAGCACCCCCAGCCCCAGCAGCTCTAGCACCTCCGCTAGACAAAGGACCAGCACCACTCCCAGCTCCAGGGACGTCAGCAGAAGTACCTCCAGCAGCAGAGCCCCGGGCTCCAGCAGCGCGACCCTGACGGCGACCGTACCAGTCGTGCAGCTGCTGTGAGGTGAGAGGCACACGCGGACGAAGGCGGCCACTCCACGGAGACCGCACAGCAGCAGACTCAGAACCCTCAGCGCCAGCACCCGCAGTAGCTCCAGAACCTCCAGCACCAGCACCCTCAGCAGCTCCAGAACCTCCAGCGCCAGCACCCTCAGTAGCTCCAGAACCTCCAGTAGAAACGACTCCAGTAGTAGAGGCACCAGCGCCAGCGCCTCCCGCAGCAGGGCCCCTAGCTCCAGCAGCGCGACCCTGACGACCAGCGTACCACTCACGCAGCTGCTGTGGGGAGAGAGGGGGTCGACGACTAGGGTGCAGCGGCGAAGCACCAGCGGAGCGACTGCGGAGACGGCCGCTCCAGGGAGACTGCTCACCAGACCCTACAGTGCCCCCAGGCGCAACACTCCCAGACTCAGAACCTCCAGGCTCAGCACCTCCAGACTCTGCACACCCAGGCTCCGCACCCCCAGGCTCCGCACCCCCAGGCTCCGCACCCCCAGGCTCCGCACCCCCAGGCTCCGCACCCCCAGGCTCCGCACCCCCAGGCTCCGCACCCCCAGGCTCAGCACCCCCAGGCTCAGCACCCCCAGAAGCAGCACCCCAAGCAGGACCTGAGTCACCAGTGACCTCAACCGGCGGAGGCAAAGGAGGAGGGTCTACCTGAGACACACCTGAAGGAGCAGGACCGGGAGCGGGGAGGGGGTCTACCTGGGTAGCACCTGGAGCGAGGAAGAGCGACGGGGGGGGGGGAGAGGGGCAGTGCGGTAGGGAAAGAGACGGTAAAAGGGAACCGACTCGTCAAAAGTGACGTCCTGAGAGGGGAAGACACGGCGCGAGGTGGGGTGGTAAAACTGCCAACCAGGCGCGTCAGGGACAAAGCCAAGGAAGACATAGGGAACAGCGCGGGCGGAGAGCTTGTCCGCGGTGGTATCGCGGACAAAGGCACGAGAACCCCAGACCCGGAAACGCGACGCATCGCCAACCTCCCCCGTCCACAGCAGTGTGGGCGAGGTCTCCGGCAAGGAGACACGGGGCCAGAGGTTGAGCTGATGCGCGGCGTACCGGACCGCAAACGGCCACAGAAAATGGGGGCCAGCCGCATGGACCATGGAGGTACAAGCGACCTCCATGACCAAGCCAATGCGGCACTCAGCAACCCCATTCTGCTGCGGAGAGGCCGGAAGCGTGAACGACTGGGTGATGCCGTGCTCCGCACAGTAGGCTGCCAAGAGGTCGGAGGAAAACTCACCACCTCTGTCAGAGTGCAGACGCAGGACGGGAAACTCTGTCCCGAACCGCCGGCGGAGCTGGAGACGAGCAGCGCGGATCCAAGGGATCAAAACATCAGGGACCTCACCCTTGGTGTGCAAGGGGAAGACCGTGGTGTAACGCGTGTAGTCGTCGACGACCAGTAGGAAGTACCGCTCGTGGTCCTGTCCACGGACGCGGGCTGGGCCCCACACGTCTAGGTGGAGAGTCTGCAAGGGAGCCTCTGTGGGAGGGAACGAGGAGGAGTGAGGATCGGCGCGCTGCCGCCCCTCGACACAGGGAAGACAGGGAGGAGCAGGCGAGGGTGGGAGGGGAGGGAGAACCCTAAGAAGACCAGAGACAAGGACACGACGGTGCATGCTGCGAAGGCGCTGCACCGAGGGGTGACCAAGGCGGTGGTGCCAAAGGAGGGTCTCGTGCGACAAGGCGCGACACAAGCAGGGGGCCGACAGCTGACCTGACGCAGACGCAGACGCAGCTACCTGAGGGGACTCAGTGGTCAGGGTGTACAGGCTCGAGCCAGGCTCACGGGTGAACGTGGCCAGGTGTCGGCCCGTCCGAGCACACGTACAGTGAGTCACCCGCTGACGCGCAGGAGTGAACTGGTCAACCCCCCCATCCTGGAGGTCAGCTCCACTCACCAGGTTCGTAGAGAACGAGGGGAGGTAGAGACCTGACAGCAAGCCAGACGGGGCGGCCGGACACGGCAGAACCGTGGAGTAGTGGGCAAGGACTGGACCCCCAGAGGGGTCTGCCAGGGAGACTGCAACCGGCCGACTAAGCGGCGTGAGTGTGGTGCAGTCGCGAAAGAAGGAGTGGGAAGCTCCTGAGTCATGGGTGAAGGTGTGCAAGACCGCAGCAGGCGAAGTACATGAGAGGGCAGACTCACCAGGACCTGGAGCAGCAGCCTCACCAGCACCTAGAGCAGGAGACGCAGTAGCACCTAGAGCAGCAGCCTCACCAGTACCTAGAGCAAGAAACGCAGTAGCACCTAGAGCAGTAGCCTCACCAGCACCTAGAGCAGCAGGCTCTATACCTGGGTCAGGCGGTACACACAGGTAACAGGCACGGTCAGCACTAGTAGGCAATGCATACATGGCAGTGAGAATAGCATCATAGTCAAGAGCAAATATATCTACTCTCTGCCTAAGTAGCTCCACCCAGTCGGGGAGCTCAGCCCCGTCGCCAAACTCGGTACGCCAGGCGTCGCTCAGACGGGCGAAGCAGCGGGACTGTGTGTGACTAGGTGTCCCGCAAGGCTGACCAGTCCGAGCACCAGTGCGAATGACGTAAGAGCAGCGAACAGAACTGAGAGACCCTCTACTCTGAGCGTACCACTCACGAAGCTGCTGGGGCGTGCGAGACTCGCGTGGACGACGCTTGAGCTGCATCTGGCCACCGCCAGTAGCAGCAGCAGCAGTAGTGGCAGCAGTAGCAGCGCGGCCACCCCTACAACCCCAACTAGCGTACCACTCACGCAGCTGCTGGGGCGTGAGGGACTCACGCGGACGTCGCTGGGGCTGCATCTGGCGTCGGCCAGTAGCAGCAGGAGCAGGAGGAGCAGCAGGAGCAGCAGGCACGACAGGTAGGCAGGCAGGCAGGCAGGCGGCGCGGCAGCGCGCTAGCAAGGCAGGGGCTCACCAGTGGCAGGAAGAGCAGGCTCTCACCGGGCGAGCAGGGCCGGTGCTCGGCGGACGGCGGCAGGGTCGGCGTACGACGGCGGCGACAGCGGGGCCGCGGCAGCGGCTACAATGAAGGGCCGGGTCGAGTCAGCGGCAGGGTAGGGCCGGGTCGTGGCAGCGGCAGGGCAGGGCCGGGTCGTGGCAGCGGCAGGGCAGGGCCGGGTCGTGGCAGCGGCGGGGCCGGGTCGTGTCAGCGGCAGGGTGGGGCCGTGGCGGCGGTAGGGTGGCGCGAGCCGCTGCCGGGGGCCGTGCACTGGCGGGTAGGGCGCGGCGCGGGCCGCGCGGACGGCGCGCAGCGCGCTGCGGGCCGCAGACGCGCCGCGCGGGCTTGGGGCGAGCTGCGCGGGGCAGCAGCGGGCCGCGCGCGTGTCGCGCGGGCTCGGAACGGGCTGCGCGGG